GGAGGCGGTTATCGCCTCTGAGGGACACTGAGGCGGCTGGGAAAAGTAGGCGAAGCTGGTGGCCCCGAAGGGGTTGTGTGTGGAGCATGAGGATGTTTTTCCAGCTGCAGCACTTGGTAGCGTAAGGTCTCTTACCTCTACCTACAGTCCTCGTGCTGCCTCGTTCAAATGCCTTTCCAGGTAAAATGTGTTGAAAAGGTATTACATGTCAGAATTACACATCTGCCACAAACTAGTTTACCATGCGTGTAATGTTTCCACCTCCTCCTTTAATAGTTTACGGTAGGGTTTGATATGCTAAAGTAAGTATCTGACAGGTTGAGGAGGGAAAAAAGTTAATGTTCTTTCGATCTAATGTGGATATATTTAATTTATATTTTATATGTGCATCTATCCACATCTTGATGGTTCTGTGATATAGAAATATGCAGCCTTAGGGCCACATCTGCTCCTAGTGATTTCTGTACTCAAACCAACAACAGGTTTTGTCTGTATTGGTATATTATGACGCGTCATGCTATCTCTTTTCCCCTTTCACTACCTACACTATATCTTAATAAGATGAGTTTTAAATTAATTTGGGTTGGCTTTTTAAGGAGCAGAATGAAATTTTTTGGTTCTATTTAGAGATGTTCTCTGTGAGAATAAAAAGATGTGCTATGGCAGTGGTGAGCTTTGACCTCTCGAATTACAGAAGAGAACTGGGTACTTGTTATACCTGTACTTAAATCATGACGAATACATCCTCTAATTATGATAACCATGAACCCCAAAGTGTGAAATCACAAAGAGGAAAGAGCTCTGTTGGGTTTGTAGTCACTTGTCCAGCTAATACAAAATTTTTGTTGTGCAAATTAATTTATTATGACTTTCCCAAGTTTTTTTTGTTTAAATAAAATCTTTCCAAGAAAGACTGTTGCAGGCTCTGCGCTGGCCCATCCTGTGCTGCAAAGAAGGATTTCTGGGCTTACTTCCTGGCTTTCACTTCTCTTTATGGACATTTGAAGAGAGCTGGGCTTAGCATCAGGATCTCTGATTTCAGAACAGCGATCTAGATCTTTGGACACCCACAAAAGTACATCTGTACTTGAAGTCAGGCCCCGTTAAGGTGTAAGAGAGCAGAGAAAGCTATGTCCAAGTACTCAGGCTCTCTGCTTACTGCCTTCTGAGAAAGGGAATGCTATCTTGAATTTACCAAGAAGACGCTTAAAATAACAATGGAATGTAAATCTATACTCTTGCTTACCTTGTAACCAGAAACTATCACACTTTATTAAGTTGAGGTTTTAGCGTAGAAGCTATCACAGCTGGCAGTTATATAAGATGTGGAGGCACATCTGCCTGTGCTATCTTTGAATCTGAAATTGTGAGTGAGCATGGTACAGGGATGCCTGAGCTGGTTATGTGCAAGTCAGCTTGGGGTCAGAAATAGGATAGGTACAGTTGTAGAGTGCTACTAGGGCCTGACTTAGGAACTGGGGTGAAATGTCATTTGCGCATGGCCATGCTGTTTGTGGGTTTGAGATCATCCAATAGTGCTGCACTGTTTTACGTGGTTTATCAGCTCAGTTTTTGCGAGTCTGGGAGTGTCTACACCTTTTTAGCTCTGTAATGTCATAGGTAAGATAATATAATGGTATGGGTAATGCACAGAAAAGCTCTTAAGAGTCAGAAAGAGAACATATGGTTTTATTTTTTTTTTTAATCTCAAAAAAAAATCCAACTTATGTTTCCTTCTGCACTTCTTTTAGTATATACAGGATCATTTCTGATGTAGAAGGAACAGCGTATGTCGAGCGAGCTTTGAGTAGAAGAATTGCTCATGTCTGAACATGAACTCATTTATGGTAGCCTGGTAGGAATGGAAGGGCATCGGCAGTGGGAAGGGGCAGAGCAGGAATTCTGTGCTGTCAAGTTGGCTTCAGAAGCCACAAGCTCAACGAAGGATGGCAGTGGGGTGCGCATGATCTTTCCTCAGAACAGTTTGGGACTGCAGACTTGTTGATGCTGCCTGTTCTTAGAAAATCACCGTTTGTAGCTTTGCTTTGACCAGATACCGTGATTGTGCATTCCATAATACTGCCAGAATACTACTGATAGCTTCACATTTTATAATGCTTGTACATGACAATAAAGTTTCCTGCCAAGTTAATGGCCATGGTGGTACAGAGAAACTGTAATGGAAGGATTGAGAAAAACCTTGAAACACTGGAATAACGTGTGTGTAATTTTGTAAGTCTGAAACGCTTTTGTTAAGCTCAGGAATGTGAATACGCCTCCGTTGTTGTGCAATGCTTGCCATTTCTTAAATAAGCCGTTTTGAAATCGGGGCTTTTTTTTTTTTTTAACGTTAGCATGTGTCTTTTGGTTTTTCTTTCTCCTTGTGAAATATGGATATGTAAAACTGGGTTACAGATTGATTAATATTAGGCAAAGTAAAAAAAATGTAGGGAATGATGCAACAAGAGAGCTGACCTTCACATTAAAATAACATATTGTTCTGATACTAGGTCAGGAATTAAATTTTGGGTTTTAGAGCGTTTTTTCAATATGTGCTGATAGGAACTGGCTAAAAGAACAGTGGATTGAGTGCTATGAAGTTTGTTTACTCCATTTGTATCTTGATAACATAGGTTTAACTGTTTTCTTTCTTAATGGTTGACTCACCTGCCAGACTTCTTTGTAATTTAGTTGTCTGGAAAACATTGTTTGCAGATTATTTATTTGCTGGCTGCAAGAAACCTCTGTAGGTTGGATGCTTTCATAACAGAAAATGTAGTCTTCACTACCTCAACCATTTCAATACACATGCCAGTGGGTGACATATATTTTAGTCAGCAAAGAAACTTGTTAATAATGACATGCTGAAATATTTTTTTAGTAGCTTTATGTCAGTTTGTGTATGAACAGCCTGGTGCATGTTCTGAACCTTATACTTGAAAGATTTCACATCATCTTTCCATGTATATTTGATAAAATGAAAGCAGTGTGATGTAACCATCTCCTGATGTTGTGAGACTAAGTATTTGCCTTTAAAACGCCTGATAAAATATTCATAATATGAGATGATTTAATAGAGAGAAAGTATAGGTGATTAATTCTAGCACCATACCTAGGGCAAAGGAAAGGATAAGCACTGTTTTATTAAGAATCATTGCAAAGCAAGGAAGGAATATGAGTATACTTGTTCAGGAAAGAAAAGTAAAGCAAAAGCATTGTTATGTTAGATTCATGTATTAACAAGGCTAGTTCTGCTTTAGTTACTTAAGCAAATACTCAATTTTGTTATCTTATCCTAAGGGCTGTGATGCAGTTTAATCACGCCAAACCTCTACTAGAGAAGATTTTGTACTAAAAATTTGTAAAACGTGAGGGACCGTGGTTATTCTCCTGCAACCCTGTCAAGGATGGCTGTCATGATTATTTCTTAACTTAGTTATGCCTGATTACAGTTAAGACTCATCCTATAACACAGCTATATTTCGAGTCTGACTAAAGAATTATGAGGGGCGCAGGTCACAACCTTAGACAGTTTGGAGCCGGCTTTCCACGAAAGTGCTATGACAGATAAGACTCAAGTGGTATGATTTTGGCTTGTAGGTTTTTTGTTTGTTTGTTTTAACACTCTTTACCACAATCTCTTTTCAAATTTAGAAATAGCTATTAGTTTTGACTATTTCTTATCTGTTTGGCAACGTTCATTGGACTTCATATTTTCCTATTGCAAACAGGATATCCCAATTGTGCCTCTATAACTGCTGTGAGGGAATTGTCTGCCTTCCAGTTCTCTGTACAGCTGGCCATCTTGTAAGGCATCATGCCATCTGTTCCTAGTACTGCCCGCTCCGCTTCCCACAAGCCTTCTAGTGTAGAAAAAGCCTTGTTCAGAGAGCATCAATAGAGAACAGCTGTGCTTTAAGTGGGCTGGCTGGTAGTGGCTGCATTGGTAGACGGGGTTTATGTGACTAATGCAGTTGTTTAGGACTTAACAGTAACGCTGTACTGGTAGAAACTGTACAGTGCATTGCATCAGGTACCTGCTGCCTGTGGAAAAAGTTTTCCCATCCCACAATTCTGTAGACAGACCCATTTGAGTTTCCTGTATGATTAGACCCAATAGCTTTGTCTTGTGTAGCATTTTTCATAAAGGTTAGAATTAGGTGAAACATTTTCTGTAGATTTGTTTGTATGGCATTTTTGGGAGCAGTCTTTAAGAATTAGTGAATATTCCCTTTTAAATCATGTCAGATGTTTTGTATTCCTTGCTGCCATCTTTTCTCCATCGTGCTCTTCTCCTGCTACCGTGGTTGTACTGCCCCATTTAGGCTTCTGGGACCCATTGTAGCACAGGGTGAGTGAGAAGGGATTAGAAAATGCTCATCACTTCTTGATTCAGGTTCACAAAAATTCATTAGTTCACAAAAATGCTGGAAAGTATATTGCTACACTATTGTTACGATTGCCTAGCTTTCCTAGAACAGAATGTCATAAAGTTGTGGTAGAAGTGCTCTCCTCTGTACAGGTACTGTGGCCATTACAGCTGTAAAGAGCATTACTAGAGCACTAGGAAAATGCATGGGAAATCTTAGGAAAACTCAGGAGAGAAATCTACTTCCTTGGATAGCATTAAGAATGATGGGGCCATTTTTAGTGTATATTGATGAATTTAGGACCTCTTAAATTACAAAGCTGCATGAAATTTAGATGAACCTTTAGATGATGTTGTTAATGCTCAAAACTGTATTGTAAGCTATACAAACAGTAAGTTTTATACCCTTAGTTCTGGCTTCTCCAGAACGTGGCAGTGCAATAGTATGGATTAATGCGTAGGGCCCAGGTCTGGCTCCCAGTGATTTCATTACTATAGGATTGGCTTAACATATTTTTGATACACAAAATAAATCATGTAGGGTTTCTTATTTACTTTTCTTAGTACTGAAGTATATAGCTGTAAGATATATGTATAAAGCAAATCTATTTTTTTCTAAGCAGAGAATTTATTTTGGTAGCATAGAAATATTTTCTCTGTTGAAATTAATGGAAGTTTCATAAGATTGTGAGTCTTGACCTCTAGAGTGGAAAGATGGTTAGATGGAGATGGTTCCAATGGGTATTTGGATCATGACTGAGTCTCTAACAAGAGATGGTTTTCAGTTCAGGCATCTGGAAAGCATGATACAAAACCTGTTGGCCTGCCCAGGTTGTTCTCCACCCAGTGTAACAAGCATTAACAACGCATGGCTCTAGAGCACTTATTCTTGAGCAGATATTAAGAGGGTACCGAGTGGGGTTGTGTTAGCAGGGGGAATGATGTGTATCATACATCCTCTGCTGTGGGTGGAAGTGAGCCAGCTGGGATGGCATTCTGTGCTCCCCATGTGACCTACTTGTGTAATAGCCCCTTCATTTTTCACCTGGCCCTCCTGCCCTGCTTTTCAGTATGTTTGGTATGTATCTTGTGCTTATGTAGATTTGGGTATGGGGCTTGTAGGGTCAGGAAGATTGGCCGTGGCACTTAGGTTACAGCAAGCCCCGTTGAGTTTTGGGTGCGGCACTTCAGGAAAGACCAGTGGGAAGCTGTGCGAAGACAGCAGTGAGAATCTGACCTTCAAGGAGGAATTAAGTGAGCTGGGAGCATTAACATAAAATCAGGAAGACTGAATGGTTGAAGATGACACTTATTTTGCATAGGAAGGTGTTCCAAAGAGTAATGAACAACCTGTTCATAAATTGCAGCAAGGAAGGTTAGGTATTAAGGAAAACTTTTTAACATTAAAGATAGTTGAGCAGTACAGTAAATAGTTGAGGGGAGTGTGAAGTTTTTGAACGTCACTGGAGAGCTTTAAGAACAAGCTAAATGAACGTCTGTCAGGAATAACAGATATAGTTGATTCTGCCTCTGGACAAGAGGAAGGACTAGATGATATACTGAGGTCCTTTCCAGCCTAGTGATTTTTTGGGTCCTTGAGATGTTTTTATATCAGTCTGAGTATATTTGGAGCAAGAACAATTTAAACTTGATTATCTGACAGCACCAAAACTTTGAGCTCTATCAGAAGTATTTCTTAGTAAGGTTGGCAACAGTCTTGTGAGACTGCTTAGCGAAGAGGCAAAACAGGAACATGTGACTGATCAGGAGCGAATGTTTCTAACCTGACAAATTCAGACATGGCATTATGGCAGTACAGAACATGGGAAGTCTTGCTTGTGGCTGCCAAAATGAGTAGACCTTTTCCCTCCTCACAGCTGCATGCTTGCATCCCCTCCCTTGCACCGTGTCTGGTGCTTGCCTGACCCTTCTTTGCTTGTTGAACTGACAGGAAAAATAGATCAGCAATAAAGTGAATGCTTTTCTGCCAATTTAATGAGCTAAATTGGCTCCCTGACTGCTGGGACAAATGAGAGGGAAGGATGATGTGGGGGAGAGGAGGGAGCCATTCTGCCTCTTTTAGTGGCAGGAGCAGCAAACTGTTAGATCAGCTCTGCTGGCCTAATTATCTGTGTGCTATGGTCTATTTTCTGTAACTTTGACAGGATGGAAGTGATCCACTGAAATATTTTAATTTCTTAAACACATATATGCCCTTCAGGCACAAGTTAAGTGTATACCTAAATTCATGACTGTGCTTTTGGACGCTAAGTCATAATAGAATTGAAAACGATCTTAAAAAAATAAATCATCACATACAGTTCAGTTTGTACATTTAATGCTCAATAGTGAGCAAATCTATTTTTTCCCTTCATTTTCAAACACAGCATTTGCTTTTTAAAAAGGGAGGGGGAGGGATTATCCTTCTTTTCAGTAGTTATTGGCTATCAGTCACTTCCTTTTTCTTGTAATTTCAGTGAGTCACTTACTTTGCAATCTTTTCTCAGCATCTCCAAAATGTTTTCTGCATAAAGGAACTCAAATTTCATTTGAAGCCTAAAAACTGAAGGAAGACTAAGACTACTTGGAAAATCCATCCTTGAGGCCTTTTGAATTCCCAGTAGATAGAAAAACCCAGGAAGTCATGACACAAAGATTTAGTAATCTGTTATGCAATGTGAGGCTGTAAAAGAAGTACAGCTCTGAATGCTAGATAAAGAGCTAAACATTTGGGGAATGTTTTAAAAAATATATAGCATTCTTAAAACATGAGAAGAATAGATTTGGTTTGAAGAAATTACAGATAACAGAATGGATTGCATTCTATGATCTTTTTATTAATCTGATTTATATTTTCAGTAATAGACTTCCGGTTATTTGACTGAACTGATAATTTTCTTTTACTCTGAATGGCGAGGATTTAAGTTTTGACAAAAAGTCAGTATAAACGCCCATTTCCTAGAAGAAGCATTGAGAAGAGATTTGCCTTTTCAGTGTCAATGGCCAAAGAGTTTTGCAGCTGACTTGACATATGTAGCTGAAACATCAGTGATGAGTCATTTCCAACCAAAAGATTATGTATATTTGATTTTAAACTATGCTGAATCAGATTTGGATGTTGTTTTTCAGTTACCCCTGTGTAAACTAGTCAGTGCCAGTATTGTAAGGAATTTTTTATATTATAGGTATACTTCAGAGCTCTGTTCATTAATTGGGACTACATTGTGTTGGGTGCTGTATATTTCAAGTATTTTCTTCCCCACAGAATTTAGTATTTTCTAAAAGTGCGAGCCCAGAAACCTTGGAGTGGGGGGGTGGATTTTTTTTTTTTTTTTAAGTCTGAGCAAATTCAACTTTCTATGAAGACGTGAGTTACTTCTTTACTTTTCAGCTGTCAGGTGTGAAAGTCACATAGAGCTAAAGAAGATGCTGGAAATATGGCGAAGAGTCCTCCCAAGGAAAATTAAATCTGAATAGGATCCTTAAGGCTTCCAAAAGGCAAATAGAGCGTTTACCATTGTTTTGGAAGAGAGGGCTCAGGAAAGCAGTGTGGCAATCAGTACTTTTGGCTACATCCAAAGGAGGTTTTTTTGTATAATGGGTTTTGTGAGGTGGCAGGTTTGTGAAATTTAAGGGCCCATCTGCCAAAGAGCCCCTGAAATTACAAGGATGAAATGAGAGGACAGAATGACAAAAGGGAAGACATTGCTCTAACAGTCATAGAAGAAACAATAAATTACAGCAATTAAGGTTTGAAAGAAGGAAGTAAATCCGTGTTAGCTGTGGGTTTGGAGGGGCCCTGCGTGGCATAATTTGGGAATGATAACCAAGAAAAGAATCAGGATTACTGCTGAGATGAAAAAACTGAGTGTTGATTTAGGGTAAGCTGCCATTATGTCTTAAGTCTTCAAAGTGAAATGCAATTTAACTGGAGCACTTAACAAACTTATAGGTAATAGTTTTGTACTTTACAGAGGTGGAGAATCTGAGTTCATCCTGTATTAAGTCTGTTCTGTTTCAGCTAGCATGAGAGACTTTATTTCCAGTATATATCCCTGTGTAACCTTTTCCTTAGCATTTTGCTTTATTTTTATCTTTTATCTTTACCTTTATTTTAAAAAAGTACTTTTTGCTTAAGGGGAAGCAGCTGTCGTTCTTTCTCATCAATCTACTTTATTAAAAAAGGGAAACAAAAAACTTATGTGGAAGAAGTAAGCATATTCCTCCTTCTGTTTGCTAGATAGCATGGGAATATGCTCAATTGTCTTACGCTGTCTCTCTTATCAGTATAGAGTGTCAAAGTTGCTTGCGGTTTCTGCACTTTCTTACAAAACTTTACATCTCTTTTCATTGTCGTTTTCCAGGAAACAATCAGAGTCAATGTACTGATGTTGAAAACCAGTGGAGAATTTCACAAAGGACAGGTTTGTCAAGTCTTTCTATTTATTCAGTGAATTAATATACAGTGAAACAAGCTCTGTGTGTGGATGAGAACACTTTATTTTGTCTGGCTTCAGTCAGTATTAAGTGTGTTCCTCTGCAAACTAAATTGTAGCATAGGGGCATAGGAACCATACGTTCATTCTGTTTGTCTGTCTTTCAGGTTATTTTTAATATCACCTATGTTAATGGACAGGTATATCTAAATGATTTTCCTATGAAGAGCGGGGTTACCCACATAACATGTCAAACAATAATCTGTGAGTATTCTTCAATTTTTCTTCTTGTGTATTTTGCTTCCCTATTATCCAGCCACCAAATCTGACAATGATTACGCGTTCTTATACTCTCCAAAACTGAGCATCGCAGAAGCAAATCATTTGCTGAATGAGGAGAAATTTGCAAGTAAAATGAAGGGGAAAAAATGTACTGCCTTGTTCTTAAGTCACATTCACATGCTTAGATGTACATGATTTAATCTGAAATCCAGGCTCTGCCTATCTTTTCAAAAGAACGTTTTGTACTACAAGCGAGACAATGTAAACAGAAGGATGCAACTCCACCCTGCTAAAGGCTGTCTCCCTAGGTTGGCTGGCATATATCCAAAAAGAGTTTCAATAGCAGACATATGAGTTAGTGTTAGGAAGATCTTTTAATTATCTCATTTCTATGTTTATTGGGACAAAAAAGTTTCTCCTGGAGAGACTGTTATAGCAGAAATACTTCAGTTTTGCTAGTGTGCTGTAATGGTTAATGACCTAGAATGATTTTGAAACCGCTGTTTTTTCCCCTGATTCAATGCTGCACTTCTTCTGAAAGACCAGAGAGCTCTGTGATTTTTGAGATATGCAGAGCATACTGTATAATTAATTAAGCAGGGGCTATTATGCACTTTTGATTTGTATGTAGAATGATCTCTTGATGGATCAGTCACCCTCAGTCTTCTAGCTTGGTTTCTGAGATCATCCTTTCTTTACAATCAGACGTTTACTTAGGAAGTACTAATGCTTTTTGTAAATTGCTTCTCTGAGCCATGACCTTGTCTCTTGAATGCTTCTTTCCAAAGGATGATCAATTATTAATTTGACACTATTTTTTTCTGGGGTGGGAGGGCAGTAATTCATTTCTTTTCGTCTGGGATAGTTATGTTCCTTTTGTTCCTATCTTTGTTTTTTTCACCACAGGATAGAGAAAAATGGCAAAACGTCATTTACCTACAAGGTAATTGACTCCAGGTAAAACAGATATGATTTTATCGACTAATTCTGAGAGAGGCTGAACACTCTTAATATTGTTCCTGTTAATTTCCCAAATCATACTTGTGTAGCTTGAAGTGACTACAATTATGAATGTGAGTCTGAAACAATGAGAAAACCAAACCCGGGAGCCAGGAACCTGGAATTCTCCATCTCCATGTTTATGACTGGGTTCTCTGAACAATACCTCGGTTATCTATAAAATGACATTTATACTAAGTCCTCACAATAGATTCAGATAATGCTTGTAAAATGCTAAAGGACTATTGAGATACTTGTGCCCTGATCCCTTATACCAGAGAAAAATATCCACCTGAATATCTGTTATGTAAAATCAAAACTGGGCCAAACATTCATGCTCTTGAACATTAGAATAGAGACCAGGCTTTCCTAATTGGTATTGTCTTGACATTGCTGTCACACTGTTCCTGGCACCTATATCCTCACTCAAGGCTCTCTTGGAAGGGTGAGTGTCCTCAGCTCCTATTGAACGTCGCAGTGATTTTGAGTCGCCTGGCACGTGGGGAGGGCTGGGACACAGGGAGCTTACACTGCTTTGCATCTTTTAGGCTTCAGCCCTTTAATGTATACTTGCTGCTGTAAGTCAGAAGACATTCAGCAACCAGATTAGTGCTGTGGCTCAG